GCTATCTAAGCGCATGACGTAGAGCCAGTGAAATTTTCTGGTAAAAATTTATCATCGTTTGTTTCAAAAGTCATATAGAGTACTCCTACACCTTTTTTTTACGACGAAATGCAATGTGATATTAGTATTTTCGTCACCATATGACATTGTAATATCCAGCAATGGAGACATTGATTCTAGGCTGTTTTAGCCATTTACTACGTAATTAATCTAAAACTTTATGCAGCATTCATGACAGTCATATTTGTTTAGAGTAGAAAATGTATGCCATTTAATTACCTATGCATTTCATGTTCAATTCCGTATCAACTGTGTTAAGTCATAAATAGGACTGCGATGGGCAATAATACTTGCTAAATTTCACGAATGTTGCATTTCTGAATAATGGTACAACTCCTGTTTTTTACTGGCTATTTTCTGCACTTTTCAAATTTCTAAGTTCAGAAAACATTTGTTACCACTCAAATAACTAATGAAGTTTGTTTTAATTACAACCCTACTTTTTAGGTTTAGAAATAATCTGAACTAATAAAATTAACCACTGTTTAGTAAACTGTTTTTATTTTTAGTTAACCTGGATTTTATTTTTGTTTAGAAATAACATATTTACATTAATGTGTATTTTGTTCTTTTGTAGGACTTATTTTACATACAACATTATAAGTTTACTTTACGTGCAGTCAAAGAACACAACAATAAATTATGTGGCATAGAGAGATTGAAATGTCACCGACAAAGTCTTAGTAGAATAAATCTCAAAACATGTGGCTGTTTGAAATTATTTCAAAAATATTCGGTCTTTTAAGGAAAGAAGTTAAAGTCTTAGTGATCGGGTTGGATAACAGTGGGAAGTCAACGATATTAAACAAGTTGCAGTCAAAGGAGACGCAGAATTCATTAACGATTCCAACTATAGGATATAATGTTGAAAAGATTAGAGTCAGTCAGATGATATTCCTTTGTTTTGATATGTCAGGTAGTGGAGCCTACAGAAATTTATGGGAAAAGTTCTACAAGGAATGCGAGGCGATAATTTATGTAATAGATAGTTCCGATGAACTAAGACTTACTGTTGTAGAAGACGAATTTCAACAGCTATTAAAACATCCAGATATTTGCAATAGGCGAATTCCAATCCTCCTTTTTGCTAACAAAATGGATTTATCGAATTCTATTACAGTCAAAGAAATAGTCAAGATTCTTGGTCTGGAACAATTGAGAAACAAATCATGGAGGATCTTTGCTTCGAATGCCATAAACGGTGAAGGATTAAATGACGGTTTGATGTGGTTATTTGGACAACTGAAACAAAGTAATAACTAAAATGTGATAAAGATTCTGATAGAGAAAAGATATAGGTGACCCATCAGGATATGTCATTTGCTTTTCCAACGAAATAGAAGTAAGACCCTTGGAATTTGTGTCAAAACACTTGAAATTTACGTTCAAAATATAACAAAATCTAGAACAAACCTAAAGATAGGAAACCAGATGTTTATACCTTTAATCATTAGTACTTTATGCTATCTTACCACATTTATTTCAAATGTTGAAATTTATAAAAATGACTAAAATGTACTGGATAAAAAGGTTTTAAAAACTTTATATGCTATGGCTGTCATTCACTTTTTTATGATTAAAAAGTAGCCTTGTTTTCATTCAAATAATTTATGATTCTTATCTTTCGAAACCGAATGCAGCACGTTTTTACGTATAGCTATTCGCTATATTAAATACTTTCATTAAGAATTTCACTAGACCACCATGGAAAACCTGGAAGCATTGGACGGTTGTTTCGTCCTAGTATGGGACTCTTCATTAGGACATTAAATTATGCAAATTAAATGGAGTATTTCTAATCAATTAGTTATTCATAATGATTTCGAACTGTTATCTAAGTTTACTAATCAAGAATAAAATTAATACTAACTAAATCTAATTGAATCAACTAAGTTATGCACTTTATATCTTTCCGTCCAAATTTCATGATCTGTTAACTACTCAGTGAATATACAGTTAGTTATGTAGAAAAAAAATAATAAGAATCAAGAAAGTGTTATAACTTGTTGTTTGAATGCTTATTGTCTTGGCTCTTTTAATGCTAATTTTTTGTATCTGGTCGTCGCTGATTGTTATGTCGGAAACGCTTATCACTTATACTCTGAACGAGGGACCTCCGCAATTCCCACAACGTGAATGTAAGAACACAAGACTGGTATAAGTGAAGATTTATTAACCCCAAAACACGATGATGACCTTCGTCGAAAAATACACTCATTTATATATTGATTGTAAACCCATTTCCCTTAATAATTAGGATGCAATCACATACATGAAAAAATACTTCGAGTTATAACAAATCCTATAATGAGCATAGTTCATGTCAATGGAATACAAGAATATCGCATATTATACAGAATAAAATATCATACGAGAAAAAGGAAACAAATACTACGTTGAGTAATCATTGTATTGAATCGAACGGAAGTAATCTTGAACAATAACTCATAATGAGTAAATCAATCAAAAATTGACTTTCTTTTCCATCATATCAGAAAGTTTGGAACTAGACCACTCAATATAAATGTTAAATGTTGTTCATTAAACAAGTATTATGTAATTTAAAAAACGGGTGCAACAAACATTAATTAATTGGATTATCAGGATATAAATTAGATAGACTTGGTTGATTGATGTATATTCTTATGGCTTCTGTTATTTGTAAAGATAATAGAAGCATAAGATAAGTTCAACTGGATTCTACCTATAACTAACTATAAGAACTAAACATATGTTGATATGCTGGTTGATATAGACTAAATGTAAGAGAACAGAGCTTTTTATTTTTTTCTTCTAGTCAATCAAACGATTAATATTCTGAAATACGATAATGTATTTGTCTGGTTTTACGCTTTTCATTACAATTTTAGTTCATGTTTTCAGAAATATTTAAGCAACCTATCGTTCAACGAACCTATTATTACTCAATAGAAATAACTTTATAGTTATTCATGAAACTGTTCCCTTTTTACTTAGTGGTCTCTTACCACATCCAGTGTCTGACAAAACCTTTTACCAACATATAGTCTTCATTAAGGTTTTATAAGTTTACATTGTTCATACTGAAAGGCAAACATCTGTTTAACAATTGAGGAGCGAGTATATTACATAGTGGTTTGTTCTAAATAACTTTATGGTTAAATATTGAGACAAAAGTAAAATGTGTATATAGGTTTCAAGAATTGAATTGTAGGTGTCTTTGGCAAATTGGTAGTGAATAGACAAACTGTATTGGTATTTATAAATTAAAATGAATCATTTAGTATATGTAGCTTACTTTATCAATGAAATAAATAAAGAGCTCCGATTAACTGTAAAGTGAAAAACGTTATTAGACAGAAGTTTCCTTTTCATTAACTTCGTCTTGTGCAGCATAAATGGTCAAATAAAAAATGTGCATGATTACAGTATCTCAGCATAGATATTTCTGAAGCACTGTTGGTTTATAATGGAACTATTGATTAGTATTAGTGCAAACTACTGGATATCTTAACCAGGTTTATCAAACATTTAAAAATCAGGCTAGAAAGAGCAAATGGTGGTGCAAACTAATGTAGCATATGACGTCATTGACTGTTGATATGAGAAGTTTGAGGAATTGAGATCTTTCGCAATTTTTGTTTCCTCCCAAATTCTAATGATTTGAGTATTCCGCATGTTATGATTTCTTTCAGTTACGATCCAGCTCCTCTTATTGCTTAGTATTCTTAGACACTCCTTTACTAGACAAGTCCTTAAATCAGAACACGGTCGAACAGGAACGTAAATATATTCCAAATAACACGGTTGGATGGAAGTAGGAATCAGAATGAGGAAAACATCAGTATATTTATAATTTTTACTTAAGAAAATTGTAGAGTCTTCACCAAGTATCCACTAGTGCTGAATGGCTAAGAAATAGCCATACTTTAATCTAATATATATTCCGCTAACAGCAAATTTGTTGGCGTTCCTGTAAACAAGGTACATTAGGTGTAACCAACATCCGCTTTAAAAATGTATTTGATAGCGTGTTGCTTCCATAAGGATTGAGAAGAAGACGTTACGAAGTCGGTACTTGGGCACTTATTTGATTGGAGTCATAGAATTAACCTACATGATGATTTCAGAATAAATATGTTGTTGTAGAGTTAAACAATAAAGTGAATTATCAAGAAAATTCTCCTGGTACAGCCTTCATTTAATAAAGATTTCGCAAAAATTGAAGTGGTGCTACTTAACAGTTTAAAGTAAATAACTTTCATAGACATCATAATTAGTGGGATGAGTATCAAATATCGTGAGTTAAAATATATTCAACTGATAGCAGTCGGTGGAAGGATTATGAACTCAAAGGTAGGCAGTAGGTTTATGTTAGGTGAAGTTTATGGATAACCAGCGTGTATGACCTATAGTTCCTTTTAAGCATAGAAAAAAAGCAGTGATTATTTCACTGGTATAAAAAAAAGTAGCAAATATCAACAAGCATATTGAAAAAAAAAGGTAATTACTTTCTCTAAAAGGTAGATTTCTAAAGGTACATTACTTAGTCCATAGAGTATTGTCCTGGTAAGTGACTCAAATAAACGGTTATGGTTTATGGAATTGGTTGAACACTTTCAATTATAGATAACCATAAGTTTGGTAATCATAAACCGATTGATGAACAGATAAGATATAAACGTATTTTATTTAGTTAATATAGAATATGTTGTATTACTTTAGCAAATTTCATCTTGTTTCAGATTACCAACAATACGGCAGTAAATCTATGGTTAGTTAAAAAAAACACTTCGTTACGATTTTTTGGAACGATAAGATAATTTTACACATTATACATTATAACACCTTTATTTCTGTACTCCAATTATTATTGTAAATATATTCAAGGCTAATATTTATAACTCATAGAGGTAACCGTTAAATCGAATAACTAGATTGAGTGTATAACGAAATAGTTAACATTGAAGCTGAAATTTATATTATAGAGACACGTAAAGAACAGCAGCTCTAGTGGTCAGTAATAAAAATCATACAGTAATGAATATTTGAAAGAAATAATGACATTGGATAATAATCATAGTAACAACTACAACGATGGTGACGATATTTCAGAATAAATGTTCTCTTGAAATTTGCTGGAGAAATGTATGTATATACTGCGGTCCTATTTTTCCCAACATTTTTGTTATAAATTCAAGTGACCAAAAAAAAACACAACAAAATTCAAAGCAATAAAAGTAATTACAACCTAAAGTAGCACACTTCAAAAATTTGAAACTACCCAATCAAACACAATGTTCATAATTCAATAAACGAGTAAGCGGATGAAGAAAAAAAAAGTTATTTAGTAATATTTAATATACACATGTGTTTAAAGCTTGTGCGTGTTAACGATTCTTTCTGAATAGTTTTGTCCTAGTTATTTTAAAAGCGAACATTTTGAATCTATGTGTAAAATAGTTCAAATAGTTTTCCGTTTTAAAAACAACAGTATAAATTTACTGAATTATGTTAATGAGTTGAATAATATAAATATTGAGTAATTAGACAGTTAGTAACTAGAAGATATTACATTTGATGATTCGGGGAAGCAAAATGGAAGAAATCTGAATTATGAACTTATCAAAAGAAAAAAGAAATCAACAAAGATTTGAAGAATAAACATGTGGTTTGTTCATGGTTCGTAGAAAAAGAAAAGCACTGGTATAACGAAACAATTATTAAATGCTAGTTAAATTGTAATTTTATAACCAGGAGTATTCGTGTGAAACATCGGTAACACTTTTTGTTGTTGTTGACTTATCCACCATAGTACTAATACGAAAGACTCTATATGTGTACTAATGTAAATAAATGTAGGACAAGTTGACAGTTATATTGAAATGTTAAATAGATATAAATACAAAGAAAATGAAATTTAACTAAAATAGACAATAGAGCTACAAAATGAAGAAAAAGAAAATGTAAAAGTAAATGGGGGAGAGAATTGTGAAAACAATATGATAATCATGAATATCTGTTAGAAAAAAAAGAAGTAGTAATAAAGAGATGTATAAATAGAATGTATAACTGACACATCGTTATGAGTTGTTTGATTTATATTTAATGTGAAAATGCAATACGACTGATTGGGAATCGTAACAACACCGGAGTTGTACCACGTACTGGTAGTAAAGTTCGTGAATAACGATAAATCATAGATGAAACACTTGGATATGGTTGACTATATTCGCCTAAAACATAACCTCCAGTTTCAGGATCTTGTGAAATTTTCATATGAAGTACATCACTTTCTCGTCTGTAAAAAGAAACCGGGTAAAATACACTAGAAAAGTCAGCTTTTAGAAAGAGAATAGTTTGTTAGTTGGTGCAAAGAATTTAGTAAACAAATTAATTGCACTTTGGAAGAAATCCATGTAACTTTTACAGCATGTTATACCCATAAGTAGTCACTAAAAAGTTGTTTCTCCTTTAGGATTATTTTTCACTCCTTTTACACTGATGTCCATTTATCCAGTATTGGTAGTTAATCGTACTCAATAAACCAAGGTAAATCCCTTGAGGTCAGACAAAAAAGTGATCATAATCTTGGTTTCAAATTATAAATACGGTTTCATGTTGACCACTATCCGTTTCTGATCACGTATCTCAGTGAACTCGTAGATCAAAATTACGACATACTTTATTATTACTAAAATAGTGGTGATTTGTAGCTCGAGAGCATGATTTTGTCGAAATGTCTTCCTCTGATTTTAGTGTTTTGACTCCGTAACCTTCGCTATCTCTTCAAACAAAATAATTCTTGAAAAAATCAGACGGAAGCGAGTCATAAAAATTTCTCCCCAAATAACTAGTAGTTCGTTCAGTTGACCTTGAAGCCGATCAATCTTTATTAGTATTTGTCCTATTATCATTACTTTATAATAATTACATCAAATGTGTAATGAGATGGTGGAGAAGATTTGTAATTCAGATAGATGATTTTGGTGGAGTTTTGTTCTCTGGGCTGAATAGTTTGGTCGTGGAGCTTTTATCGTTATTCTGAACATCATCAGCACAAACTTCAGGTAGAAGTCCAAGCTCAGAGGACGAAACTCCATCAAAATCGCAATCAAACATTTAAGTAGAAATGTTACACAATACAGAAAATTTGAATTAATAATCAAATGGAACAGAAGTAAACTAAAAATAAATCACAACATAATTAAACGAAAAAGTCGTACTTTATTGATAGTGATAGTTCTGTTTTACTTGTCTCACTTCTTCTTACAAGAAAACTACCTGTCGGTGTAGATTTCAATAATTTTTCTGCATGTGAACGTGAAAGATCACAGTGAAACCATCTAGTAAAGAAAAGAAGGAAAAAAAACAACCCAAAATATACTCAGCACATTAATTTGACCAAACTCCTAGAATAACATCATACTACTTAAAAGTAGTTTACATTTTCTTAAAATAGTAACAATTAAACGAAACAAATTCTCTTTGTGATGTCATTTATTATTGCTGTACAACTATATGGTTGGTTGGTTGTTTGCATGTTTAGTACATCTAAGTCTATAGTAAGAGAATCAAATATTATGTCATTTGAAAATTGATTAGATATATTTCTAAATATCAAAGAAATTGTATGGTCGACTGAAGGTTAATGTGAAAAAATTTGATAAAAAAGTAGATAATGGATGAAAGATAATTATTCACTTAGAAAATATTAAAGGAAAAGATTAATCGGATAAAAGATATTAACAGTGGCTTATAGTTTTTGAACATAAAGACTGTGTATTGAAATGCCAACGTTTCTATCGTATAGATAGAAATATTTGATCTGTATAACTTTTAAGCTAGGTTATTTAAAATTGAAGATGACTTTCAAAGTTGTTAATCAAGGGCCTATATTACTAGGTTTGGCTAAGTGATCAATCAAGAATAGAACTATTGATCATTTTGTACTAATCTTTTGACAACCGTGCCTGGTAATGCTTGGACAGGATGTTCTGATTCCTTAAAAAAGAACATTTTTCGCAGCAACCCTGCGAATAGTATTCTCCAGCCGATAAATTATCGTATATGACCAACTCAATGTGCATTTACTAATTTACCTGCTCATGTGGAGCTAAGTATATAGGTCATTCTATGAGTACTTTATCCAGAAGAATTCAAGAACATTGTCCGGTGTGGCTAAAATGAAGGGGCAACGGCTCAATAAGTTCAATAATCGAACACCTAGTAAAAACAGGTTACTCAAACAAGACAGACTTTGCATTCAAAGTCATCTACAAGGTAAGTAGAAGTCTTCCAAAGACAATTAGACTGCATCTTCTTTGCCGAAGCATTAGTCATACATCTGGAAACACCAGAATTGTGTGTGCATAAGAGACTGGTACAACCTCTTCTACCATGGTCTTAATGTCTTATAAATTTTTTCTCTTTCTGATACTCTTGTTCCTTTACAGCCATCTGCTTCACTTTCCATCTTCCCTTTACATCCTCCACCCCCAACTGATTTATTTTGTTTCTACGATCATTCTGATTACTTCTAATCTCAATTTCAACATTTTATCTTATCATGCTGAGCCAGCCTTTCCCATTGATAATTTCTCCTATCTATTTTTTGATGAATACTTAAGCCATTAACAATCAAATGATTATTAAACTTTCCTTGCTTTATGAAACAAATTTTTTTTAATACCTTTGTTTATTTAGTCTCACTGTCACTATGTCTAACAGAAGTTTATTAACAGTTTATTATCATCCTGTAAAAATAAGTATATACATTTGCGATTGTACAGCTTTGAAAATGAATTCGCCAAAAAAAGAACTCTTCGCTGAACTGATCTTTCTTATTTAATGTCTTAATGGGTGCATTCCGTTTACTAATAAATTAAATCTTTTTATGTTTACCGGTTAGTTGGATCTTATCCTCAATCAAAACTCAAACGATGAGTTAAATGCTGTGACATTCACCATGTGTATGTAGACACTTGGGTTGTGCTTCAGTAATTGTAGGAAGAAGAGGACCCTAAAAGTCCATTACTTACAGATAATAAACATACACTTTCATCTAACATAAAACAAATTAAGTACTAACTACAAATAAATGGTCGGAAACTTGCCTTCATTATAACATATAAAACGTGTTTGGTGAGTAGTTATATTTACTCTGTTCTTAACCATGCAACGATTGAGACCTTTCTTCAAGTAATCAAAAATATTTCCCAATTATTATGATCATATCAGTGCTGGATTGAATAGTGATGTTCTTTCTTTAATAATCTTGTTATTCCTGTACTCCTTTTGATCTATTTTCTTAATGTTTACTTTACATATCAATAATTTAACTAATCAGTGTGTGAAAAAATGTGAAAAGGATATTTTCAGTAAGAAGAAGCCCATCACTTTGATAAACTTATTCGTGTTACACTTACTGTTATTCCTATATATTTATGACATTGTTATACCTACGCGTGTGGTATGTCTCTTAATGTCCTTTGCCCACCAAGTGTTTTTATGTCAAAACTTGTCTATAAATGAAACATTTTTCAGTACTAAGTAACAAAGCATTCATTTTGTAAGTAGTAAGTTGTTCACATCATGAAAAATGACTCATTGTAGCGAAATATTTGATCTAACCGCCTCATTATTTAGTTAAATAAAACAAAAAGGAAGCCAGAACGAAGTTTGATTCAATGAACCATTATTTGGTTTTATCATTCTCTGTGACACGAGAATGTGAACCTTAACAGACAAAGAAACAAACACATCTATTAGCATGTATTACCGTTTTTTTTATTGTGACTAGCATTACGGTTCATTTATGGGGTTATAAATGCTAACTTGAGAGTTGGCCTACATGAAGAAGAATATTTGAAAAATTCACAATAGGCAAATGAAGGGAAGAATGTATAGAGAAAATGATGAACAGTTGACAATTTGAATAATGCCAGAATTTATTATTATTATGATTTGAATAAAACAAATAAATAAATGAAATTATCTTTCCTTTCCATCCGTGTGGTATCTAGGACTTAGCAGAAAATAAGAATTGGAGATAGATAAATATGTGCTTAACTATTTAAAAAAAAAGTGAACTGTATAACCTTCGCAGAATATTTTTTGAATATTTAGCCGGTACTACAATACAGAAACATTTCTGTGTTATATAATAATCGAATGATGAAAAAGTGGTAAGGTGAAGATAATCGTACCACTTTTTCACCACCCGATTATTACATAACTGCCTCTCAATACTTCATTTTCAAAGCTTGACAACATGCTTCGTTTGTTTTAGGGAAATATTTCTGAATAATGATGGTTATTTTAAGTTAGCAATAACGATCATAATTGTAAGTGAAACAAACAATCGAATTTACTAGTCATTATAAAGGTATATGTAACACGTTAGATTTTGTGCCTAATTGAATGTACTTAGGCAGGAGTAAGAGGTAATCAACTCTATTGGTATATGGGCTATAACATCTTATTTCGGTCAATGATTAAGGCAAATGATTAAGCATACAAATATGTCCTGTAAGTATTTAATGTTTCGGTTTAAAATACTAAGATACATAGTCCAATTGTCGCAGTTACTGAATTGGATTAATCAGTTAAGTTCGGAAATGGTACTTATTCCACTATATAAATCCAATACTCATCCGAAGCTTAGGGGTGTCAGAGATCATCTGCAAATATGATCCAGAACTGGGTTTTTCATAAAACGATAAATCTTAACTACATAAACTATGATGGACAAAACACTCAAATTAGCCAAGTCAGTATTTGCGTATTGTGTTTCATTAGGTAAATGAGTCACTGACCTAATAATGAGAATTAGGCTTGATCAATATTGCTTATGCCCCAACATTTGTATCGATAATCTGTCAAGAGGGTGGAATAGTGTTTCTTGTCTCAGGAGCCATCAAGTTTACGAGCCTTTGTCTTGATTATCTGATGTTAACCAAGTCGTTTTACATACCAGTTTACTATAGCAACACGAAATACATAACCACGGCTATATTATATTAGAGGGCAAAAACGTCAGGTTATATAGAAATTACCACTATTAAGCAAACAGATCCGAGTACTATAAATACGACTAATTTAATAAAAAAAGGTACATTCTTTGTAATGTAATTGTGTGAATGCTGTCTTCAATGTATTACATCCCAAGTCAATGCATTGATCTAGTGGAAATCAGAACAAAAGATATATTTTAATCAATTACTTTTCTCTTTAAATTAACCCCATTTAATTGAATAATAATAATGAACATCATGTTGAACAGTCGATATGTAGCTAGGATAACATGATTTGTTATAACTTCTGGTGAAAAGATGGTCTAACAGAGTGATTACTACTATAGTAGTATTATAAAAACTGAAAACAATTACAATCTGGTACAAATGCCATTTGATTATACTATATATCATAGTGACTAAATCGGTTGTTAACAGATACTGAAATAAATAAAGTGATAGGATTACGAATTCTACTCAAGGAATCATTCTCTAGATCTCAATTGAATGGATGTCAGGGAACAGAAGAGTTAGTTAACTGACTGACTGACTGACTATAAGTAACATACATATTTGAAACTGTAGATGAATGTTTATATGTAAAATATTCATTCAATGTAGTATGACAATGATATACATATCTGTTTCCCAATGAACGTTGATTAAAGAAACTAAAAAATCACGGTTCTATCATAGCTACATCCACATCAGTCCGGCACAATACTAAGGATATGTTGATATTGATGTCAGTCAGTCAGTCAGTCAGTAACAACGTAGAACTTCGTACGTACGTACATCAGTTCGAGTTGCCACACTACATTAGCACAGAGATGCAGTGGTCGATTCAAATCCCGTAGTGGTAGAGGTAATAAGAGTATAAGCAGTAATCGGGAAGATTAGGGTTTGGAGATGTTATTTAAAGAGTATAATCCAGTGAAAGAAATTTGGAAAGAGGAAAAAATGGACATGAAGAATTCAGAAGATTAGAGTTTGGGAGAACACAAAGAGTGTATGCACCTGCGCCATTGCAAACGATTTTGAGCCATGTCATTCAGGGTCTCTAACCATCGGTTGCTGTCATCTCGCGGTCCCCAACCAGGTAGTCTACACCTACCAACATGACTCAGTTCACTTGTCAGTGACTTCATGGACTTGTGCCATGTTTTGGTTTGGCCGCCCCTAGCTTTCTTCCAACCTACTCCTATACCACTGAACATAGCACGTCGAGGCAGTCGGTCGTTGGGCATACGTAACACGTGTCCCAGCCATCTCAACTGATGAATTTTCACTACGTCATCAATTGATTTGCCATCTTTACCTAGTACCCGTTTCCTAACAACTGTGTTACTTACTCGATGGTCCCATGATATACGAGCAATGTTTCGAAGACACCTATGATCAAATACTAGTAACCTACGGATATCCTCTACTCTTACCGGCCATGTTTCACTGCCATAAAGTAGGACGGAACGAACTGCTGCGCAGTAAACACGTCCTTTGGTTGATAGACGGATATCTCGCCTACGCCATAAATGACGCAGGTTGGCAAAAGCTAGTCGAGCCTTCTGTATCCGTGCTGAGATTTCGTCACACACCAAACCACAAGGGCTGATGAGACTTCCAAGATAAGTGAAGCGGTCGACACACTCAACTACTTCACTCCCTATCACTAGTTCGGGTGTCGATGTAACCCAATCCTGAAGCAACATTTTGCATTTCGAGGGAGAGAATCGCATCCCGAACATGCTTGCATTGTTGCTTAGAGTGGTCAGAAGACTCTGCATTTTGTCAGCGTCTTCACCAAATAAAACTATGTCATCTGCATATTCTAAGTCAACAAGTGAACCTCCTGGTAGAAGTTCAACCCCTGTAAATTTAGATGAGGAGAGTGTTATCTCTAAAAGTACGTCAATGACAAAGTTGAACAAGAATGGAGAGAGTGGACAGCCCTGACGAACACCACTTGAGGTAATCAATTCTGATGACAGTTCGCCATAAGCTCTCACTCTACCAGTTGTGTTCGAGTAGAGAGCCTTTATAAGGTCAATGTACTTCTTTGGTACTCCTTTCAGTGACAAACACTGCCATAGAACCTCACGATCAACGGAGTCGAATGCCGCCTTAAGGTCGAGAAATACTACCATTGTGGGGCGTCTGAATGTGTGTCTGTGTTCTAGAACCTGACGTAGTGTGAATATCTGATCGATACAACCACGTCCAGGTCGAAAACCAGCCTGGTTTTCTCTAGTCTGCTCTTCACGAGCTTTAGTTAGGCGTCGAAGTATTATTGAGGCTAATATTTTAGACACTATATTAGTCAAACTGATTCCTCTGTGATTATCACAAGAGGACTTTTGTCCTTTCTTAAAAACTGGCACAATCAGTGATTGAGACCAGTCAGATGGGATTACGTCCAGTTCCAAAATTCTACCTAAGACCTCAGTTAATCTCATTGCTAATACTGGACCACCATCCTTAAAAATCTCAGGAGTAAACCTGACAGGGCCTGCTGCTCTCCCTCGTTTCAGATTTCCTATGGCTTTTTCAACTTCGTAAAGGGACGGAGGACTTACATTAACTTGCCATTCAGGTTGACTAGAGATCGTGGGAAACCGAAGTGTGGCTGAAGGTCAGTTGAACTGATCCCTAAAGTGTTCTGCCCATCGATCCAATCTCCTGGATTGAGAATGAATAATATGTCCATCTTTCTCTGAGATTGTTTCGCTAACGGTCGGGTTCCTAATTCCGGTTTCCTTAACGAGTCTAAACAATTGTCTGCTATTACCTATTGCCGCTGCCTTTTCCATCTCTCTTGCTTTCGCTACCCACCACTGTTCGCGATCATTGCGTAGACTTCTTGTCAGCTTGCGCTTAAGCTGACTCCGCTCTTCATTATGTTCAGAGCCAGGTGGAATGAGTTTTCGAGCATCTATCAGTGCGATAGATGCTGCTGAGATCCAGTGTTGCTCCCTAACTTTACGGTTTACCTTACTAGCAGATATCACTGCTGTCTCCACAGCTTTTCGGATATCGTTCCATGCTGCCTCGGGGTGGGCATCACATACATGGCTGCCTAACTGTTTTCCTAGTTGTTCCTGAAATATATTCTTAGCTTGACTATCATTAAGTAGGCCCTAAGAGGTTTCCTTGCAGCGTCTTTCCTACGTCCAGTAAGACGCAAGCAAATACGCGCTCGCACTAGAGCATGATCTGAATCTAGGCTTGTGCTCCAGAATGAGCGACAGTCTTCTATCGAGCCCCTCCATCGGTGGCTGATAGCGATGTGATCTATTTGGGTCCAACGTTGGGACGAATTAGGGGTTCTCCATGTTAAAAGATGTTTTTCCTTATGCTTAAAGTTAGTATTTGCAAGGAACAGGCGGTTATCTGAGCATAGCTGCAACAGACGGTCGCCATTATCTGTTCTTTGAGCCACGACACCATAGGATCCACCTAGGTGTCTTTCCTTATCGCTTAGTTTACCTACTTGAGCATTAAAGTCACCGGCCACTATTACTACATCCGAGCGCTTAGCTTTTCGGAGAAGGTCCGAAAGCTTTCTGTAAAACTCATCTTTTACATCATCTGAGCTGCAGTCAGTGGGAGAATAGGCTGAGACGACGAAGAGGCAACGACGAGTGTCCCTATCTTTCCGGATTCTTACTGTTCCGTTCAGTCGGACAGCGCACAAACGACTGTTTACTGGGATCCACTCTAAGAGAGCTAGTTCTGCCCTAGGACTCAATGCTATACCTACGCCGGCGAGGCCACGGGAAGCAGAATCAGGGCTTCCAGATACACGAAGCGTAAATCGAGTCGGTTCTTTATTTTGGCATGGTGAGGTCAAATGAATGACGCTACTTGGATCCTGTATGCGCGTTCCGGAGACGCAGCACACATCGATGGCGCGAGATTCTAAAGTTTTAGCTAAGGAAGCCTGCTGTCCCATTTGGCAAAGTGTTCGTACGTTAAAAGCTCCAACGTGTAGTTTAGAGCGTGGTTTCAGGAGACCAGGAATGGCGTTCCACGTACTCGAATCGTTTGCCCTAGCGGTGCGAGGTGATAAAGAGACGTGAGGAGGGTTAGTCGGGAGGATAAGAGAGGTATTAGGGGGTGTAGGAAGGATTTGAATGTGACCACCTTGGTCTCTTGTGCTGTTACGGGTATGAGGGCTGATGTCACTTCCCGGCTGCCCACACCGTGGAAGGGTATTTCTTGATGAACCTGAAAAGGAAATTGGATTAGTGTTGGTCTTGACGACCTGAGAGCGTGACCGCAGAGCCCAAGGGACAACTGCTTGAGGCCGGTCGCGCACGACCTTTTTGTGGAAGGTTTTCGATGTGTTAGCTCCGTTCTTCAAGGGCCTTACCGCCGGAGACGGAAATCCGTGAGGTAAGGTGAGGTGTGCATTTTTAGGGTCGACCTTTTCTAACCCCACCCCTCCTTGTGGGAAGGCAGCATCGCTGTCATGCTGGTTGTCCGAGGGAAACACCTTACTGCTGTCACACCTCTGTACAGTCAGCAGTACGACTTCGCCCTCAAACCTTGAGTTGCTGCTTTTAGTCTCACCGTTCTCCAATCGACCTGCCTGGCATGGTAGAACCTGCAGGAAAATATGTTCCAGCCAATATAGCTCGGTTGGGTCATCACGATAGGCAAGCCCGACCACCGCGTCAAGGTAGCAGCTTCGATCGGGTGATATTGATGTGGTTGGAAAATATAGTTATCTATTCACTTGGTGTTGTTTGCTTGAATTTTCCCATTGTTGCTTAGGTCTGCAATTGATCAGTCTCATGTTGGCATATGTGCATTCCGTACGGATTGACTTGATATTGTGGGTACATCCAGCCAACGAGTCCAAATAGGACGAAATGCACGTCCTGGATCCCACTGCTAGCCACCATTCATCTTTGCTTGTAATCATCTATTTTTTGAAACTATCAAGTGTCTTGATCATATCCAACTGAACATCAAGTCATATCAATAAAGTAAATCTAGTTTTTGAAAAAAAAGGTATTATTTTGCCTGATTTATCTATTAGTAGGAGTAGTTCATACGTCTGATCAAAACTATCCTTCGTTAATTCACAAGAAGTATTACTAAATACTTGAACTATCTAGATATCCTAAAATTTAAAAATCTTAGGTACTTTCGAATTTTGAACATCATCGTTTTTTTATTTGATTTTTTTAAAATTTTATGTAAATAAATAAAAGTTGCTAATAAAATTATCTTACAGTTGATTTTCAAGTTGTTCAGATATCGCTGTTGTACTACTACTATGATGACGTGGAAAATCTGATTTTCGATGTCTGTAATATTCAGCTGGAATGTGTAGATTCTCATTGTATCTTGTACTTCCCTGGTAATCTATTATGTCGGGGAAATTTTCTGAACTAACAGCAACATTTGGTCGTCTTCTATGCCATTGAACAAGAACTGGAGGCCAAATGGAATTACTATCTGGATTGGCTGGTACTGTTTGACTTAAATTACGATGATAATATTTTGAAGGTATTAAACATCTTGTGTGATCTGAGGACGTGCTTAACTGATTACCTTCTAATAAAGTAGTTTGTGGATCGGCAGTACGTTGACTGTGTGAACGAATCATATTTGAATGATGTTTTTTGTGTTTAGAGCTGGTTGAATCATTTGTTTTAACATCTGGTGGGCCCCATCCTGAATCTAGAGGGAAGAATACAGATTGCGTCATACTACTGTTGTAACTTGGTGCAAATAAATCTGTCATACAGGAATTCTCTGAATTATATGAACGATTTCTTTGAGGATAATACTGTACATGTGTAGAATCGCCTGACATGCGAGTCGATCTCATATCTGTGACAAAATTAGGGTTATTATGAACAAGGTTATCAGATTTATGTCTGTAATGCATAAAGTATTCTGATTGTTGTTCAGGAAATCCAGCTGGTAAACTAGATTGTGTCATTAAAAGTACATTACTATTCTTACTGGTAGGTGGAATTCTAGAGGCGAAATGTTCTTTATGTGTTCTTGTTGGAGATAAATGCATAATACTTGATTGCATATTCGTAAATGTAGGTTCTGCACTGATTTGGCGCTGAGTGAAATCACGACAAGATCGACGAATTCCGTTTCGTGTGTTATCTGAACAAAAAATAGACCAAGTGATGTAATATATAATAACGTAATTATAAATTTATGTCATAAGAATTTTAATAAAGTAACGGGGGTTAAAAACGCAAAACTTTATATGAAATTGACATTATGTTTGTCACCTTTTGTAAAATTTTGTATCAAACAGCTAATTCAAATGAGTAAATCTTCAATATCTAGTTGTTCTTAACAGCTTCGATACTAATAAACACTTGATTTCCTTATTTTATGTTATCGAATAGTTAAAGAGTAGTAATGGATAATAATTGATAATGATATATTGAGATTATAATGATTTGAATACAAAATAAATTTACTTATGAGTTGGTGAGATATGAACTTCTCATCTTTCAGATCTTATAATGATTTATAAACCATCAAATAGTTTCTATTATAAATATCAAATTTGAAAATGAGGAAAATAGCTAAATTTCAATGATTCGAGACACTGTAGCTGGTTGAAATACACTGTTTTTAATTTGAATGATTGTCTATAAATGTGCTTAATTTTCATTTCTATGTGAAGTTAGTTATAAGAACTATTAGAAACTAGGACTCATTGAACAGTATGGATTTTTATAGTTCTTTCTTTGAATCATAAAGTTTAGTATTCTTTCATAATTTATATTTAATCTTATTGAATCAATATCGAAATTACTATTCATTAGACTATCATGGTACTGTTCATTCTATTGTTTTTATGTAGGAATTTGGCAGAATTAACATTCATGTTAAGCAATAAGTTGATTATAACTGAATGAATAAACAATAAGTTAAAAACACATAGTTCAGCGAAGGGATCTCTTTTCAAGGAATTTATTATCGAATTGTACAATTGTATATATGTGAAAATATTTTTTGTTAAAGTACCAGTTGTTCCATGAGGGAATCGGAACAAGGAATAACCCTTTATTATTGTTATTATTATTACTGCATTTCTCCCCTTATTTATGTCTCATATTCACATTATTTTATTCATATTTACTTATTATATCACTTTTTTTACTTTTTACTCCTCTATGACCTTTAATGACCTTTCATTATTGTAACAAAAACATTTTAATCATCTTACTACATTCACGTTATAATTCGTTATTGTTATTATCCGTATTATGTAATCCAGTATTACAATCTTTCTAGTACATCATCTCTGTTCACATTTCCTCACGGAACTAATACTTTGACAGATATATATATATATATATACGACTGTACAGCTTGATAATAAATTCCTTGAAAAGAGATTCTTTCGCTGAACATTGTGTTTTTAATATTTAGAATGGGAATTATCTATCAAACAATGAATCAATCTAGAACAAAATTTAATTAAATTTCATATTACAACCATGTATCCATTGGATTATACAGATCATATTTCTGCAACTCTTAAAATTCACTTATATAAATACAATGATTTTCGAAGGATTTACTTACCCTAGTTAATTCCATTAAGAAGAAAATGAAGAAAAAAAAGAACAAATCTACTCAAATCTTGATATTGCTCTTATTACATTTTGTAAAGTTTGTTTTCCTGCACCAGCTGTTTATATGTTTGTATAGAAATAAACATAATGACCTGAAGTCTTAGAGATTACATGTGTTCAACTATTTACTTATTATATATAATTGTTACAATATTCTAACGTATATATGTACTAGCACGTTGAATGACCACAAATAAACAAAATCACATTTCATTAGTTAATTAATTATGGTCAATTGAAAGAGATATATTTTAAAACTAATGAACATTATTTCAATTGTATTGCTTTATTGTTGTTTTTAAAACATAAAATGAATTATTAGAGAGAAGAAAAGAACTTGAACACTTTTACTAGTGTTATTTATTATTACCACCATCATCATCCTCATCCATATGTTGTTATGTTTCAATACTACTGAATTATTTAAATAAGTATGCTTACCATACAGGGATAAGAATTTCAATGGAAAATTCAAGTTTATATATATATATATTCATTTAGGATTAAATCAATTATTTTAGAAACATGAATATTTTCTTTAGTGCAAGAAAAAAAGAAGTAAAAGTAACATTTATGTCTTATTATGTAACATAAGGAGGTATTTATAGTTTAAATGTATCTACGTATATACATATGTACAGCACCCAAGACCACTGTATTCATAATCAACCTTCCTCTTCAACTCCTAAATTTGCATGATGATGATAAAAGAATCAATTTTATGAGTAAGTGATGTGATATAACAGTTAACAAAAGTTTGATAACAAATTATAGTCTATCAAAACCGCTTAATCTAAACAAAAGAATCCATAATTTTTTTTTTGGGGGGGGAGAGGAGAGATGAAGATATATAATTATATGAATCTGAAATGCGATTTACCTCAGAATGGTTTAAATGAAATGACACAAAAAACTGATATACAGTTAAGCTTCATCTAATGTTTACAACCATAAAACGGTTTCCTGTATATGCTAAATTCATTTATTTCAATTAGAGTTGGTTTTCAACATGTGTATAAAAACACATTCTAGTTTGTATCTACGAGAGTGAGAGAAAAGAGGTTAGGCATTCAGTCTTTAAATATTCAGTTAATTTCGACAACTCATCTAATCCACATATTCATTTGAAGTTGATTCATAAAATTTTTTATTCTAAGTAAACCAAGCTTTCTTTGTTTTCAACTTGTTGAAATATCATAAACTTTGGTCATTCATTTTGTGAAGCTTAAATTCTATATACGAAAGAATAATCTTTTATGTTTTGACTTTAAATTTTCTTTGTTATCATTGTTGTTTATTATATTTTCCATTCATACACTTAAGCATCTGAAAATGTCTCTTCTTTCTAAATTATACTTCAGATCCTTTGTTTTTCGTTCTTATTTATTCTCCATACCATTTCACTTAAGTACCATAATGTCCTGCCATTTAAAAATCAAAACGAAATAATTATTTTAACTAGCCTATTCCATTCATATTACAATCCATTTTTAGTTCAGTAGTTCCCGGCCCTTTTTTATATATTCACATCCTGTAGAAGTTAAGTAAACCTGTATAGTTATCATCGGCACTAAATGGTTTATTATTTTAATCTTTACTTTTACGTGGTGGGTTGTTTAAAGGACGATGTTAACAAAGTTGGTTGCCGGCTCAGTGGTCAAGAGATTAAGTGTTCGTGTGAGACCGAGGACCTTAGGTTTGAATCTTGCGTGTGTTATCGTGGATACACACTGCTGGGGAGTCTCATACTGGAACGAAACAGTCGTCCAGTGCATCCAGGTTTTCAATTGTGGTGTAACATTGGTCGGTCCATGATTTCAATGAAATTCAACAATCTCGACAAACTCAAACTGAAGATAATTGGATTATACCTAATAGAGGTGTTTGAGCAAAATATATGCATAGATTAAAACAATATAAAAGTAAATTTACTTGAATTGATCAATTCCATCCTTTGTTGAGCTTTCAACCAAGCTACATCAAATGGTTGATTTGATTGTATTTCTGGATGACTATTTATTAATAATTCTCGGTTATGATGATTTAAAAGTGTAGGATCTTTTACTGAATAAATAAATGGTACAAATTCATCTTGTCCTTCATTCTGTAATAAGACAGATTGATTTAGATTATGATTATTTGTAATATTATAATGCCTTCGAATAGTACGTTCATTTTTCAAATCATCAGGTGAAATAAGGCGTTTAATCGATGGCTGATCAGGGTGTGTAGATTTTATCAATATGAAATCTGATAAAAAATTTGGTCTAGTTACAGTGACATTTGATTTTTGATCATTTTGTAATCTGTTTGATTCATGAAATTTTACTGATTGTTTTTTAATTAAAACTGGATTTGTTGAGTCAAGATTAATTGAATCTAGTTTTTCTAAAGGATAAGAAGAAATATGTTGGTTTGAAAATGCCCAGTTGACATTTCGTTTGTCAGGGAATGAAGTAGAAGAAGTTACTGTTGAAGCGTGAGAAAGAATGCATGTTGATTTAATCAATTCTGTTTCATTTGTTTGAAGTGTTTTCTGTGATGAAGTGGTTGAAAGTAAGACAGTAGCGTCTTTCTGATTCGAATCCCATGGAACAACAGATCTTCCATCAAGAGGATATTTTGCTGAATCTTTGTTTCTTTCATCTAGATCACTGGTTGAAACTGGTTGTGCCTTAGATTCTGTCATCTCGGAGGAATTATTTGTTAATATTTTCATTGCGGAAGAATCTGATAATTTATCTGACTGACAAATTGAACTCTGTTTATTTGGAATGTTAGCTGTGACGGGATTTTTACATGATGTTCTCAAAGGGGTTTGCACTGATAATGTGTTATCTGTGTCATGAAAGTTTTGATGAGATTTGCTCTCCGATTTTTCCAAAACATTATTGTTCTTTATTTTTTCAGATACAGTCTACAAAATTAAAAAGTAATTAATAGAACTGAATAAATTCAAAATAATAAGTCAGTCAGTCAGTCAGTAACCACGTAGAACTTCGTACGTACGTACATCAGTTCGAGTTGCCACACTACATTAGCACAGAGATGCAGTGGTCGATTCAAATCCCGTAGTGGTAGAGGTAATAAGAGTATAAGCAGTAATCGGAAAGATTAGTGTTTGGAGATGTTATTTGAAGAGTATAATCCAGTGAAATAAATTTGGGAAGAGAAAAAAAGAGACAAGGAGGAATCAGGAGATTAGAATTTGAGAGAACACAAAGAGTGTATGCACCTGCGCCATTGCAAACGATTTTGAGCCATGTCATTCAGGGTCTCTAACCATCGGTTGCTATAATCTCGCGGTCCCCAACCAGGTAGTCTACACCTACCGACATGACTCAGACCACTTGTCAGTGACTTCATGGACTTGTGTCATGTTTTGGTTTGGCCGCCCTTAGCTTTCTTCGAACCTACTCCTATACCACTGAACATCACACGTCTTTAAAATAATAAATAGGCAGGTTAATCAGTATACATATGTTTTTGAAAATCAGTTATATTTGAATACTTGGAAAGATTCCGTCAATCGGCGTTCGAAATTTTTTTATTGATTTGAATTACTTAGAGGACAGATCACGGTAGTTGAATATTGACGATTTTAAAATTTGGATTTGTTTTGTAAAAATTGACATTTGAAATGATTTTCTTTGTCAAAATTAGAGTTATTTTTCGGTAGACGGATGACCAGATATCACTATTATAAAAGAGGCTTAACAGTGAAAACTATTGAATGTTAAGTGAATTATTGTTCCGTTTTTTTTCAACATTTGTGTTAAGTTTTCAAAAGATGTTTAAAGTGTTCTTTGCATAATAATAACATTGAGGAATGTATTTGTAAAATGTCAGCGAATGAATTTCAAGTAAATTCAATGTTTCGCCTGGCAATCTAGTCCAAGCTTTTTCAAGGAAATATAACCAAACATCAAAATTATCGAATATTAATAAGTACATGGTTCTCCGGTTCACTGTATACTGAATAGGTCATCTAATCGACGTTAACGATGTTTAATGTAGGTATCTGCATTAGTCTAAATTGTTTAAATTGATCTTGCATTATGAGTATAGTGTTAAAATCTCATCATGTAAGTCTGATGCTTTTTATCTTAATGATACTTTAGGTGAACATTCCTAGTTAAATTTTTACATAACTAACTAATCATATTACCTTCTAATGAGCAACAATTTGGTTAATAGGATAGATTATCCTTAATAAATCAACTATTGCTCTAATTGTTTTCAGTTTTAATAATAAATTAAATACATTGGATTGTTTGTTCTTTTTTCTCCTTGATTCCCTTAATCTATTTTGATTTTCTTGTATGTGTGTTTGTATTTGTATAGGATTAATCATTCTCAATGACATGAATTACTGTCATGGAAAATAAACTAATTGATGATAGATTGTTAGTTGTTGACAAGTACTAGAATTTGGTAAAGTAATTACAACAATGAGAGATTTATATTAATTAGTGGGATATTGATTTGTTGTTACTATTATTTTTATTCGTCTATTATGTATGGGTGTCTATGAATGAATGAGTGAGTGAGTGAATGAATTAATGTATATGATTGATTGTCTCCTATCAATTTGATTTTAATATTCAATGCTTCTGATTCCTCTTGTTCCTGGGAGGTAATTTATCAATAAAAAAAATGAATCATCGCCTACTTGCTAACTATACACATGCTAATGAGTTGACTGATTAAATAGTACACTAGTTTAAATATTGAATATGAGAAAAACTAGTGTTTTAACGATGCGATTTGATGTTCAGGCTAATTAATGGAAGACCAGCCTATATCCATTGCGACGATGGTTATTTTTAAAAACAATGATTAGTTCAGTTCAATGAAATAAGGAGTATAGTTATTAAAACACAATGAAGAGAAGGCTTTTCATTTATCTGATAAATTGTGAGAAAGAATAACGTTCCAAGAATACATTTTAATTATGAGGAAGACTATTATAACCATCTGTAATCCTTCATTGTTTTTCTAGATATTATTAATCATTTGAAACTATCCGTTTAAGCCAAATTGTGGAAAAAAACAACAACTGTAGAGTGTATCGTTAATCATAATTTTTAGCCATTTGACGTATTTATCCATCCATCATTATTTCAGTTTCGTTAACTATAGAAATAAATAATGATTGCAGAAAATAATAAAAAGAATTTATCTACAGATACTGGCTCTGAAGTTTATTGGGTTAACTCCTCTACAGATAACCCTCAGTACGGTCACTAGTACCATCAATTGTTTGACTCCATAATATGTAACTAGATGTGGGAACATTGGAGCAACTTAAATACATAATAATAGGATAATTGCTGAAAAAAAAACTAGTTAGTTAGTGTACTTTATTTTCTGAAATAATAATTCCAAAACAGTAAAAACTCACAGTTCTTGTTTTTATGATTAATTTTTCTTTGAACCTAAAGATTATTTTGAAGTGATTAAGAGGCAATAGTTGAACTGGTCGTATTCATACTTCAAGATGTTCAACTGTCAATAATTGGTTAGCTATTTAGACTCTAAGTAATTCTAGTCAATCATAGTTATTCATTGCTGACTAGGAAATTGAAACTGTTTACCTAGAATCAGGTTAAATCTATTATAAGTGAAACTTCCAATGTAGAGATTAGAATTTAAACCAACACTACATTAGCTTATGGCTGTACGTTACTTCAATATATCACAATGAAGTAAATGCCTTTTATTGAGTTTAAAAATGAAGCTGAGTGTGAAATGGGACATAAAAAACATGACCCAAAAGATATGAGTGACTTGACCATTTTAATTTTGTGTTTCTTACAAAGTACATATTTCTATTTAGTATTAGAGAAGTACCGATTTATAACACAACATGTCATGGAACAAATAGTAATTTTTAACTAAATCTGATTTTAAAAAACGCAATAGCTTTCAGATTATTCATACACTAAACATTTACTACTTGTATTTCAGTGTTATCAACGTGTGATACGTGCTACTTATATTGATATAACTAGTATATGACACGATTTAGGAATGTAATGAATATGGGGAAGATCAAGAAAGGAACAGCGGGAATAGAAAGCAATTAGTATGGAAGTGCAAAAACAACGAAGTTTGAGACAATTATTGAACATTTTGCAAATTAAGTATTATAGTATGGTTTTTTTATTTTAACAAGTAACTCTGTAATTTTGTGCTAAATATAATTCAGTTGTCCTCACCTGTGTTATCCTTCACTACAAAAGTAGTAGAGTTGCGCTTATCATCAAAATAATCAAATTTATTATCACCACACTAACAATTCAACAGCTTGTAAATTGTTCTTAATTATTCAAGCCGAGTTGGATAGTGGATAGTAATGGGATTCAGAACGTTTTTTTGTCCTGATTTTAACTTATCAGAAGGATATACTTACATTTTGGTGTTGATGTTCATTCATGAATTCAAACTTACTGTCTTTCTCTTTAAGCATCAGTGAATTATCTACTTATTTACTGAGTCTAGAAAGTCAGTATCATGTGCAATGGAGAAGGATTATTCATTTGTAAAGGTTTAAACATTTTTGCTGAGAATAGCAGTATTGAAATTCAGGTACTTCTGAGCAACGAGTCTCAAATGGGACGAAAACCGTATTTTGAATTTTATTGATAGCTATAAATGTTTGTGAATGGCGACAATATAAAACTACTCTGTTCAGAATGTACATACGCTCAAAGAGACTGAGTGGTTGAAGTTCTCAAAACAAGATTTAAACCCTTATTCATATATGATTCCATTAATTACATATGAGATAATTGAAAATGCGTTAACATATTCCTTAACATTTTTTCTCATCTTTTCTTTAGTAAATAACCATTTTATGTTACATTACGCGTAAATGTATTCTATAATTGATTTTTATTTTTAATCATTTCTACGGTAAAACAGGATATACATAGGTATGGATACTTTTGGGCATAAAAGTGATTCATTTATTGTCTTTCATCGATCTATTTTGTAGCTTATTTTTGTCAATGAACAATACTAAGAATAGATTTATTAAAAGTGTCATTAAACTGACAATCACTTTCTTTTAATATAAATGAATGAAACAGAAAAAATAAAACAAAAAACAAACTATTTACAAAATTTAAAATTCACTTACTTTCGGTAAATCAGTTAGTTCGATTTTATATTGTAATGAAGTAGCTGGATGTCTTGGTGGAACTGATGGTGGACAGGGTGGGGAAGATGGTGGAGGTAAAGGTGGTGTTGGTGGAGATGTGGATAATTTTAAATTTGTTGTTGAAGAAACAGATGTACTAATTTTTGTTGAACAATTGAATTCAGAAGTTGAAGATACATTTAAATTGGTAATGATATTAGAGGATTTATCAGAAAGTTTGTCTATAACTAATGAACGAACTTCATCTGGACGACAATGTTCATGATAGTGCGGTGCTTTCAAATCAACATTTGTAGAATTCATTATTGAATCTTGAAGTGGTGTCGGAGGAGGAGGTGGGAACCAAGTATTTGTATTGACTAATGAATGAGGTTGGGTAGGGATATTTACAGTTTTCTTGGATGGGGATAGATAAGAATTAATCGTATCTGAGGTTAAATGACTCTATAATCAAGTAAAAATGCACAATTAATAATTAAATGTTTTGATGATTACTAATTTATCATAAGAAAACATCATTAATACTTACTTTTATAGATCAGCTAATTCTGTAACTAAGAAGTGAAATGCTCTTCTCCATGTTAAAATATATATGAAATGAAACTGTGATTTTTTTCACACTAATTCAAATAGATTAAGAACTGTATATGTATATAGTAAACAAAGGATTAGAGAAAATAAACTGAGATACAATAAATGTACTTACTTACGCCTGTTACTCCTCGTGAAGGAGCATAGGCCGCTCACCAGCATTCTCCATCTAATCCTGTCATTGGCAATCTTTTACAGTTGTTATTCATCCTTTTCATATCTGATTCTATTGTCTGACGTAATATGTTCTTTGACCTTCCTCCTTTCCGCTTCCCTTCAGGATACAAAGTTAGGGTTTACCTCGTGATGCAGTTTGATGGTTTGCGTAATGTATGTCCTATCAATTTCCATCGCCTTTTCCTAATTCCTTCTTCAGCTGGAAACTTGTTTGTTCTCTCCCACAGAAGGCTGTTACTGATGGTATCCGGTCAATGGATGTTGAGCATCTTGCATAGACAGCTGTTTATAAATAATTGTACTGTCTTGATGATGGTTGTAGTAGTTCTCTATGTTTCAGCTTCGTACAGCAGATCTGCCTTGACGTTCGTATTGAAGATTCTCACTTTGATATTGGTTGAAAGTTGTTTTGAGTTTCATATGTTCTTCAATTGTAGGAATGCGGCCCTTGCTTTGCCAATCCTCGCCTTTACGTCAGTATCTGATCCTCCTTGTTCATTGATGACGCTACTCAGGTATGTGAAGGATTCTACATCTTCCACAGTTTCGCTATCAGGAGTGATTGAATTGGTGTTCTCCGTGTTGTTTTTGAGAACCTCGGTTTTCCAATTGTGTATGTTGGGGCCTACTGATGCAGAGACTGCTGCTACACTGGCTGTCTTCATCTGCATCTGTTCGTGTGTACGTGATAGGAGGGCTAGGTCATCTGCGAAGTCCAAATCGTCTAATTGGTTCTGAGCTGTCCATTGTATTCCGTGTTTTCCCTCAGATGTCGAGGTCTTCATAATTCAATCAACCACCAGAGGAAAGAGCAAGAGGGAGAGTAGACAGCCTTGTCTGACTCCGGTCCTTACTTGCAATGCATCTGTCAGTTGTCCTCTATGCACGACTTTGTACTGTAGTCCATCGTATGAGTTCCGGATAATGTTGACAATCTTTTCAGGAACTCTATAGTGTCGAAGAAGTTTCCATAATGTTTCCCTATCTACACTGTCAAACGCTTTTTCATAATCCATGAAGTTGATGTCTAGTGACCAGTTCCACAATAAATGTTGCCACAGTAATTAAACAGGCTTACATCTTTTAGGTAAACAGATAAGTTAAGTATTCAATTAAATAAGAAAAAAAATACTTCTACAAAAATTCAATTACACTGATAATTCTTTCCATCTAAAATCATTAGAAAATACATACTGTTATAAAGAAGCTATTAGAAATTATTTAAATAATGAAAGTTGATGAATCACATAGAATCGTTTATTTATTTGTTATATATATATATATATATATACAGATTCCTTTATTTCTCCTTTTTAACAGTCATATAGTTCTAAGTTAATATTAGTCTACATGTTACAATTATCATTCTTAATCTATGCAAAATAGCAACTAATAAACATCAGATTTATATTATAGTTAGGAAGTGAAATATGAGAATTATTATCTCATTTCTGTGAAATTTCTTGACAGTTTAAGAAGTGTATTTGTTTCCTCTTCTTCTTCTGTTGTTGTTATTATTATTATTTTACTGATTCTGTTAAACTAGACAATCATATATCATCCTATAGATGTTGATTTGATTATTGAAAGTTATAATTCTCATCAAGAAATCATAATCATTATTATCAGGGTTATTATAATATTTAATAATTTATTCTGGTGGTCTGTTGAGAATGGTTAAATTATCAATTCCCATGAGAGAATAATTTTTTGAAAAAAAACTTTTATCCCACATATGCGTATATATATGTTTTGAACATTTGTGTGATTAAGTTTTTGTTATTATTATTCATTTTGACTTGTATGCTTCATATCGAAGGTTAACTGGATGGAATATTCAACACTGAAGTGGCAAGTACATTTACATTAGTTTAAACCATGAACTGATCGTGCCTAGATCATCAATGAAAAGCCTGAAAGCAATGAATGGCCGTTTCATTTTAGGATAAGACACCTCAACAGTGCACATCATTGACTCATCCACTCCAGACAATGGATGAAGGTTACTTAATACTGTGGAATCAATAAAGGCTATATATGTACACCATTGGATATCAGCTAGATGGTCTAGACATCAAGGATTCCTGAGTGAGGTCGAAGATCGTAGATTCTATTTTTGGCAAGATCGTGAACACGAACCGCTGGAGAAACGTACAAGGGTGAAACGGTCATCCAGTGATTCCAGGTTTTCAGTGGTGGTTTAGTTAAGATAAGACTAAGATTCAAACTATGAAAACTCCTCAATCTCCATAAATCCTCGTAAACTAATATCTAAAATAGCTAGTTGTGTAGAATGTACTACCATATTTAAAGTAACTGAAATTCTTCATTTATTCATCAAAAGTAGCTGTGATAAATACTTACTGAAAACTAATGAGAAAAGTGAATATGTGTTCATGTAATATGAGTTTGAAATTCATCATTATTAAGTTTTTCTACATCTATAAATGACTGTTTAATTAATACTGTCCAATGATGGAAATTTTGTTTAAACAATCATATGTTTGACGTTAAAGAGGAAGGATGTGTTTGTAAAATCTCAGCGAAAGAATTTGAAGTAAATCCAACGTTTCGCCTGGCAATCTGGTCCAAGCTTTTTCAAGGATTTACTTCAAATTCATTCGCTGAAATTTTACAAATACATTCATTCACTTTAATGTCTCGCATTAACTCGGCGCCCAAATATTGTGAAACTATTCGTTGAAATCATATGTTTGGTTGTATAAATCGATTCACATAAACTTGACAAAATAATAAGTGACTTATTTTCAATTTGGTATATAACTATCAAGAATATAAAAAGATGAGTGTTTGCTAAAAATAAGTTCTTATAATTCATGCAAGTTAAAAAGAGTTACAAATATCTTCAAACAATTCATTCATGGCCTATGAATTACAGATTTCCTTGATTAAATGCAATATTCGTTGGTAAACCATGAATGAAGGTTTACTTTCGGTTGAGAATGTTAAACAAGAGATATTTACAATCCTAAAGGAACTGACGTTCACAATTAAATTTGAATCAGTATCTCACAGTGACAGTCAGAAATGTCGCCAATGAGCTATTCGATTTGAGGCATCTACTAACTACTTTTTACTAACTACTTAATGAGTGAACATATATGAGAATCTTTATTAAAGTATACTGTTTGAAGATCTAATTATTGTCGTAGGATAAATATTTAAAGGAATGTTATCGATCATTAAGTTCATTGAAGTGAATGTTACGCGAAAAAATTTACACTTTGGTTTCTAATAAACAAAGTATTGAAACAGGATGTTTCACTTCATGAATTGAACCAACGATTGAACATAATCACTTTACAGGTCATTTATAATGAGTGGATTAAGCTTCATGTGAATGTAGGTAATACTTATATTTTTGGTGACTATACTGACATACAAAGTAGTTAACCTAGTTGAATGAAATACATTGGTCAACAGAAGATCATATTATTAGATGTGCCAAATAGTTTAATTATGTTAGATAATTTTTTTCAAGTACACGACGAATGTAAATAACATTTTACTTCATTGCATTTTTCTTTCATATTGTATCGTTTAGGGTCATGAGCAATCAAAATTTATTCTACGAATAATTACATCAGAATATTTATATACCAAGACAAAAAATGTTTTGAATATTATTAGTTCATATAAAACTGTGGTGAGACTATAATTTATGGATGACCTTTGAGAGACGGTAAAATGGCCTTGAGAATACTCACTTCCTAGTGCTAATTGAGAGTTATAAACCTGTGCAAAGAATAAAAATCATAGTTTACAGTTGATGGTTAGGATTAGGAATTAGATTTAAAGTTTTCATCAAGAACTGACATCATCTAAAATCTCAAAACGCTCTTTAACCAAATGGATGAATGAATTTCACATCAAAATCCAAGAACTGTTATCTTATATTTGATTGGTTCATCCATAAATTATAGTCTCGCCACTACAGTAATATTTATTTTAACTCACTTTATTATTGCTATCACAAGAGGAAAGTGAATCATGTACAAGACTAGCTGATGTAACTGTCATTATGTCGGAATTTGTTTGAGTACTTTGAGTTGAAACTCTGTGTGTCATAATGTCTTTGACATTGTTGTTCATGTGATTTTTTGTAATGGAGGAATTATCAATAAAAGTTGGTGTTGTTGTAACGCTGTTAACAGTACTTGTAGTAGCTAATGATTGTGAAGAGATTTCTTTTGGTAAATGATTATCATGTTCCATTAATAAATATCTATCAATCAAGTTTTCATAAATAACTGATTTATTTGATTTACTGAGATTGGATGGAGAGATTTCATGAACTGCTGCACCATCTGGTGGACATCTTGGTGACATGCATATATGTGGTCGAGAATTTTGTAAGAAATGAGATTTGTTGTAATTCTGTTCACCTGTTGATGCATTCATAAGATCCAATTGTTGCTTGATTCTACACTCTTTAGATTCTTCACGTAACTGTATTTTGATTGGTTGAGAAGTGATTAGTGTATCCTGTTTCACTGAAATTTATAAAGAGATAAGTTGTGGAAAGTTAGTAGTCCTACTAATCATTTCATTTTTAAATCTGTCTGAGTTTATTTATCGTTATACATAATGAAGTTTTTAAATGTTTCCATTTATCATTTAAGTATACAGTTGAGTGAAAAATATTAGTTATTAAGTTATAGCCGCTGTAGGACTCGAGACAAAAATGCATTAGCCAAATTGCCGACATCATATAACCACCCAGATATAAATTTGGCAAAATGAAAATCATAGAAATTGAAATATTAGTGGCACCTATGATAATAAGGAAGACTAAATATAGAGAAAATAGTTGATAAAGAAGAAAAGTATGGGAGAATATTACAATTCATGACCTTAAAAAGATGAAAAATGGATAAATTTAGACCGTGCAGTTCGATTTTAATTCATATCATACAAATTTTTAAAATCTAATTGAGTTTATAGCTTCAGCTTAACCAAATAATCTGTATCTACTAACATGGCTCAGATAAACAGTTAGTAGAATCATGGATTGGTGATACAAAATGGTTTTGGTAACCCTAGGATTTATCCAACTTTCTCTTATCTCAATCATCATTGGGCGTTGAAATAGATGGTTGTGGAGCCTATGTAGTGAGATTCCTGGGAACCTTAGTGAAGATTCACGGTCATAATGATCGATTTGTTATCTCAAACCAGTATCCTATTTACTTACATATTAAGTTACAAATATTTTCGTAAAACCGATTATATTAGTAGCTTAGTAAAACGAAAACTAAAAAATACATGTAACTTATCAAGTATAGCTTCATGTACCAGAATTTGAGGGCTGGAAACATTATTCGGCTTCACGTAGTGACAAAAATGAAGAGTGGAACTGAACCTGGATCCTAATATTCACTTAATCATTAATCTACATGATCATTATCTGATTGTATTTTTCCGATTTTTCAGTTATTCGTCTGTTGTTTTGATAAATGAACTAGAAAAATGTATTGGCTAAATGTAGTAATTCTAATTTATAGGTTACATATTTTAATTTATCTTACGGCTAAGTTTTCCTGTCAACTTGAATCGTATCATTGAATTTAAATATTTTAATTGTATGTATTTTATGATTAATATCTATTTCTGCTCTATAGTTGCTATTTAGAGTAAATTAGCTACTAAAATTGATTTTTAAAGACTTATTGCATAAAATGACATTATACCTTATACTTTTCTTTCTGGAGATAAACCCATTTTGGTGACTGAAACTCGTTTAAGTTAGTGAAGTGACAATCTGACATCATTCCTTTCAAAAGTGAAATTACACTGAATACAGATTTGTTGGTTACAAAAATTTATTACGCTCTCATATCTCTGAAGTATGCTTTCAACTTATCTAAAGAAATCCATATCAATATTATAAAATGAATACTTGAATAATTACTAATCAATTAAGGGTAAATTCTATTTTTCAAGTATTTTATTATTTCCACTAACTTACTTGTGCATTTTTTATCTTGTAAAGATGAAGAATTATAATTTGTCAAATTAGTATTGGTTTTATTAGTATGACTGATAATTGGTTCCTTTTCAAGTAAAGTTGATGTGGATATTATTTTAGTATCAATATTATTGGGTATTTTTTGCTTGTCAGAAGGATAATTTGATAAAGAATCAGCTTTTATCCTATGTGAAATGAGTAGAAACAAAACAATAAATAAATATAGGCATAGAAACAAAAAATCTATGAATAAATTTAGCTTAAAATAGTAATTTTTCTGAATAACTGACTACTGCTGAAAATATTTGTTTTCTGGAGACTATATAATCCAATTTCCTTCCACTGCTATACATGTCTTCGATGTGGTATCTGAAGTATATATATATATATAAGTTGAGTATTCCAGTTTTAAGAGATTCATTTATATAGTTTTAAAGCACATCAATCTTCCGATTTGACCAATTTAGTAACCAAAAGAAACGGGTTGATATCGATTCCCCCACTCCAAAAAATCATCATTTGTGTTTACTTTTTGTATTTTTTTCACATACTGAATTGAGTTTTTAGTTTTGTACAAGCATTAATTGATAGTTGATTAAAAAACTCGATACACTGAGATAATAATCAAAAACCTCAATATTACCTCAGAAAATTATCATTTATTTCGATAGAATCCTTTGTAGAATTTTCTAGACAAAACGTTTGATGACAATTAAGTATAAAATGATGTTATTTTAGCGTATTCAATGATAAGACTAACTTAGATGTCATAAACAATAAAACTATGCTAATGATAAATAGTTTGTGTTATCACAGTATTTTAAAGCTTCTTGTGTTTGCTTAAAGACTTGGACATTATAGGTTTAATATCTGTACAGATTGTGTCTGTAAACGTTTTGAGAGTGACATGCTACAATGAAATGATCAGTCAGTCCTCCATAATTTTAAGTGATTGGTCTAGCTAGGGTTGATCTGTGACCTATCTGTAAAAAATACTCTTTTTGAATTGATTTCTTCTTCGAAATCGATGTTAAAAGTAACGGAATGAATATTGCTGAACTTATGTTCGTATTTCTCTTCATAATTGTTACTGCTCTTAAGAACAGTGATTCTTTCTTGACGATTCAAACTTGATTTAATTCCTATTTCATTTGAAGTGATCAAAGACTGAGAATGCAGAACTCGATATAATATTCATTTCGAATTATACATAAAATGTTCCATGTTCATCTTTTTGACTAATGTCGAAGATTGTAAAAATTAAGAGTCAAGGTTTTGTTACCAAATGTCAATAATTATCCAGGTTAAGTAAACAACTTGGTAACTACTGTATATAAATAATGAATAAATCTGGACATTATTTACTGTGTCTATTTATTTTTCGTTACAACCATTACACCAAAAAATGGATTAAATCTAATAGGTTAGTTGGGATAATATTAGTCTATATGCTTATCAACCTACCCCAAGCTGTCTATATTTCAAAAATGAGAAAATGTTGAAATTTCAAACATGAGCTTATTTTCTATCGATCATAGTTTAGACATTTAATTGAACAGAAGAACAAGTAACAATCTAACAATTGAGATTACGAAAACAGGCAGAGAGATACTTAAACAAGACTAGATTTGAATGATCGATCTTTATCACTTTTCTACCTCATATTATTATTATTATTGAGCTTGCGTTAGATAGAGAAAGATGTTAATTGTTATTTTTTTATATAAATAAAGTATGAAACAAGATAGAAACTGAACAGTGAATGTTGTAATTTGAGTAAAAATTCAAAATTCAATTTATCTAGTTTACCAGACAGGGATATATATATATATGCATAATTGAACGGATTTTTTCTTAAGCATGTCTATATGCTTTAAAACTATCTTTCTTCCCAATCAGTCAGTCTTGAATCGATCACATGGTAAAATCATCTCAAAGCATAAAATTTTTTAGAGAATATTTGATATTGGATAATATATGCATATATATATATATATAAACATTAAATAGAACTGTAATTTATCTACTGATTAATATGACAACTAAGAATAAATTAACCCTGAAGTTCCTTTTTTTTTCTATATTTTCTTAAATAATAAATTAGTAACATTAAATAAATAAATAACCCCCTTTCATATTTTATAACTATGCTTTTATATAAAATTCATTGATGGGAGATAAGAATTTATATACTTTAGGTGAGTAATACCTACTTAAAATTTAATTATAGAGAAATATATTCTAATTAGATATGGGTATAATTCATATCTAAACTAATGAATATTATAATGACATTCCATATGCTTTCGTATAAAATGATGCAGGAAGGTATATATATATTTATAAATAATTTATTGGTGATAAAAATAAGAATAATTTAATACAGTAATGATCATCTTACAGTTTTAGTTAAGTATTATACATAAAATAAATATTCAATTCAATGAAATAATAAACGTTATTTATTTGAAATTGGTCATTTTATATATTGGATGAAATCACTTCAAAGACTAAATGGTTAAGCTTAATCTGAGACGTGCGGCTGCTGGGTGGACATGGGATGTAGATGGCTCAGCAGGCCAGTGGAGCACAGGAGTTAGACGTCTCAGATGCCGGGTGGATATCGAGTGTTAGTGCCCTGGCAGGTCGACGGAGCTATGAAGGTCAGCGCGCTGCAGAATCAACATTTTGACTGAGAGCGTGGCACAGACTGCAAAGGAGAAGTGGTACGGTGGTCAGAACCACCGCAGGAACGAATGCTTTAAATGGGGTACGAGTGTGATTGTGTTACTTATATCCACACAAGTAGTATATAACGGTGGTCAGGTATAGAATGTATTTCAGTAGAAAGTCGATGAGGGAAGAACGGGAACGGAAAGGAATTAGTATGAAAACGCATGAACAATGAAATCTGAGACAATAGATTGATGTTTGCTACAGGAACAGTCAAGTTTGATATGATGGATTGATATTTTGCAAATAACCAATTTACTATATGGTCCTCAGATTTGATTAAGATGCTCTGTAATTTCGTGTCAAATACATTCGATTGTCCTCACCCGTGTTCTATTCTACTGACTAAATAACATTTAAAATAAAAGTTTACATAGTAATTCAACACTATTACTTATTATGAAGTTCAAATAAAACGAGAATAAACATGGATGGAGAATAATATGAATTCAATATATTTCATGGTTTCTTATCAATTGCTTACAATCAACTATGTATTAAAATTTTATATTGAAGTTACATTATTTGAATCCATGTTCGTTCTCGTTTTATTTAAATTCATAAAGGAAACTAATTGCATGAAACATTACGAAGCTATTTTTAAAAAAAAGATTTTAGGATTAAATATTATCTGTTGTTAAAGAAAGACAGTTTGTTAGTTCAAAATCTTTGGTTTTAGAGCAAATCTATCCATGATATCGTATATAAAGTTATGTGAATATCATTGTTCTACTACTAGTTAGATTTACATGATCACTATCAGTTAGGTTTGATAGTGTTTTAAGCTCTACTGATTAATGTGACAGTTTCTATCACAAGAGATAAAGAATTGATAAGTGTTTCAAAGTTTCATTATTAACATTTCATTGGATAGGCTAAGAAGATAAAGAACTTTAGTTTTAACACAATAGGCTTGTATCATACGTCAAGTTGATATACATTATTTTCTTGTTTATTTGAACGTTAATCGTTACTGCACTTGGACTGTTAGTGAATATGCCATTTAAGTGAAAACATAATGTAAAATCAATAAGGCTTATAAGATTGTTAGCTTTCGTGTACGCTGTTGAAGTATCAGAGACATTATGGAAGAGTTAATAGGAATCTTTATTTGTCCAACAAATTTAATAATACATTAACTTTTTTAAAAAAAAGTCAAGTTCAAGCTTCCCATTTTATCTTATTGAGATAGGATTCAAAGATAACAACAAAGGATTAAAAGATTAGCATCCATTCAAAACTTAATTTACAGGACACAAAGTACATACATTACTTCACTACAGAGATATTTATGATTTATTTAATTTCCAGTTGAAAGATGGTTGATAGATATTACGAATTAATAGAGGTTAAACAAATAAACCGTTGAATAATGTCTTGGCGATTTATAGATTAAGGTCTTAAGTTCCATTTCTGGTGACGGACATGAATTCCTCTCCGTTGTGGAATCCAATACTAGAACAAAACAGTTTTATAGTGCTTACTGTTTTCCATTGGCTATTTAACTAAGATCAATTCATGATGTTAACTAAAAATCACTTCACATAAGTGCCATTTTAGAATGTGTAGCAAAAGGACGAGTGTTCCGGTAATACGTTGTTGTGAATACATCTGTCTGAGTGAAAACGTTCTGTAGGAATCATTCGTAGCATACTGTTTCAAATAATTCATGAATATAAATAAGTGACTATCTAATCAGCTTACATGTATGCATCTTATGAATTAACAGTATCATTAAATCCCATAAAGTTAACGAATTTCAAGCAAATATTGAAATAATTTACTACTCTGATAGCATGACGTTGAAATATATGGATAATCTTTAAAATCACAAATATCTGAATACAAAAAATATCCTAAATAAATTAATTTACATGTGGAAATAATTAAAAAATTTTAGACATATGTTTCCCAATGAACTAACAGGATTTTCTCACAGCTGTCAAGACATTATAATCATCTGAACTATTGTTCTATAAAGAGTAAATACTTTCATATTCATAAACAAACATTGAAGGCAATGGTGGGCGGTGGCGCAATTTCGTGGATTGGTTAAAGTTAGACATTAACACCGTTGGATGCCGACTCAGTGGTCTAGAGAAACCGATAGGTCCTGGGTCCGAATCCCGCGGGCGTGATAGTGAATGCGCACTGCTGAGGAGTCCCATACTAAAACGAAACCGCCGTCCAGTGCTTCGAAGTTTCTGATGGTTGTCTAGTTTCAACTGACTCATGAATCCAACTATTAAATTATTTTATCCAATAACGTATCAATTAATAAAACTCAAAATATTATTTTATTTTTCAACTAACCATTTAAAAAGACTAATAAATTAACTTTAAGAAACGACTAATTAACTTGTATGATCAGCCGAAATTTTAAATTTCGGATAAATTTGGTTAGGTCTCCAAAATATACCAATGATATACTTCTCTATATAGATATTTCTTT